CTCGGCGATTACCCACGAGGTGTCCACCGAGAGGAACGGCATGTACGTCTCCACCACGTACATCAGGCACGAGGCCAGCGACACGATCGTCACGCCGAAGTCCAACAAGTTGCCCCAGCTGGCGCGGGCGTACCTGGGGGAACCGGACAGTACCAATACCGCTGCTCCCTGGACCTCTCCCAGGGTGCGTTCTGGCCAGAATATCGAGGCGAATCCGGCCCCAGCGACGAAGGCCCACAAGGAGGTCCAAAAAGGCGAAACCGAATGAAGTGTACTGGGATCGGCGCGGGGGTTGCTAAGGGGATATGGGGAGTTACTAGCGATGCCAAGGTGTGTTATATCTGGCCGGACCTAATTTACAAGGGCCCCAAGTAGCGTAGGGGGTCGGGGCTAAGTGGGCTCCAACCACTTAGCGGAGTTATCTAGTCCCCCCAAGCCACTTTGCGCATCTACCTATGACATAGATCAGGCCAGATATTACCCACCCTGGCATCCCCTTAGCATCACCCACGCCAATCCCAATAGCGTTAGCGGGATCTGTCCATCCTTGGAGTACCGGCCGGTGCCGCCGAAGCTTTTGTACAGGCGGATGCGCGCCTTCCGGCGCTGGCGGTGCAACGAAGTGAACTGGCAGGACTCTGGCAGGAGCAGCAGGAAGAGCCAGCAGACGGTGTAGATGACAAGCACGGCCATGAAGTATCCCGCGATCAACAAGATGGAGAGGTTACCATACGTCTGGATCTCGTGCGCCTGGGCGGGGAAGGAAACGACGACCACGACCAAATTTGAATTCAAAATCGATCTTGGTCACCGTCCATCTTGGGCATCGGCAATTCGTGGATCATCCTCGCGAATCGGCGACGGCCGGCACGCACAATGACCAAGAAAGGCATCGACAACAATCCGCGACATCGTGGTCACGGTCATCGTGTTTCTTCCCGCGACGCCTGCAGGAGCCCGAGGACGATGAGCACAAATATGGTGGCGAGCCAGTACTTCCCAGAGCCGATGCTGGAGAGCCAGAAGGCCGAGGAGAAAAACATACACTCTGGGCGTCCACGGTGACGGTTTCTCCGCCAACGCATGACCCCCCTCCCCCCAATACTCTTTGGGGATCTACTGACCCGGGTCAAAGCACACCCGGGTCAGTCGGGCTTTACAGGATCCTGCAGGATCCTGCGCGCTAGCCCGGGTCAATGCAACCCTGGCTTTGCAAGATCCTGCAGGATCCAGCGCTCTGGCGGACCCCCGTTTTGCAGTAGCCCCCATCTCTACCACCTCGAAACGAATCCCCTAGCGCGAGTGAAGGATGGGCCCCGAGAGGAGCGGTGTCAAGCAGTGTGAATTCAGCCTGGGATCCCTTTCAGATCCTTTGGTTCGGGGCCCCCAAACCATTTGACGCTGGAATGCATGGCAACCTTGGAATCCCAAGCGACCTCAGCGCGCGACCCGTCACCGCACAGTCCTGGGACCTCGGAAGCCCACGTCGCCCGAATCATCACATCTTCACCACACGGTGTGGTCACCGCACCGTCTGGGCATCCCCGATACCAGACGCCCGAAGCCGCGATTTTTGTTGACGTGGACCCCCAAGGTGTTCGGACCCCGTCCTGGGGACCCTCGGTCGTAAATTCCGACGGTCCCAAGGCCTCGTGAAGGCCCCCGTGGAAGCCAGAGATGGCGAACCGTTTTCCGGTATGATCTTTTCAAAGCGCGAGGGGGGCGGGGCTTGGGGTCTGATGGCGGCGCGCGTGGGGGGATCCTTTGACTCGCGTCCTAGCTCCGCCGCCTGCACAGCCCCCTTGTACCTGGTGAAATCCTTCAGTGTTTCGCCCTTCGGTACCGGGATCTTGAGATCCACTGAACTATTGGAGTTGTCTCCACTTGCCATGGCTCGTAGGGATGGCTAGTCCGTGGGGCCAACCTCGGAGCTCCGCTACCAACCTCGTTCTCGCTCGTGCTCTCTCCCTCGATCGGCCTCGGCGTGTCGGGGTGGTCGCAGCTCGGAGAACTCGATCGAATCGACCGATACCTCGCTGTCGCTGCCAGCCTCCCGCTGCAACTGCTCTGGGGAACAGGCGCTCTTCTTGACTGGGCCCAGACGCCGGCGCTGCAAGTAAGCATGTGAGTCCAGTGAAACAGGGGAAAACGGGTCTTGACCCCCACAACTCACAGGGCCTCTCGGAGCCTCAGATCTGGCCGAAACCGTCGCGTTCCCCCGAAACTGGGACCGCAGCATCTCCAACCTGAGTTCGATCGGCCGTAAGCCTGGCCCGCGCCCACACGTATACTACACACATTCCTGCGTGCTTTTGTCAATTTTCTTTTTCGCTGTTCGCTCCTGCATGCGTCGTGCGAGCCTTTCTCTTGCACTGCAGCCCTCAACCGCTGCCACCCATCAACAACGCTTGGTGGTGATTCTCATTTGCGAGCCCGCTAGCCTCTTCGCTGAGCTGGACCAACCAGCGGGGGGAACACAAAGTGCATGTGCGTGTGTCTTTGGATCGCCCCAGAGGCTCTTCTCCTAGGCCGCATGCGTCCGAACGTGCGTGTGTGTGTGTGTGTGTGTGTGCCTTGTCGTTCTCTTCCCTCCCTCCCTCTGCATGGTTACTGAACTCGCCTAGCGCGCCCTGTTTTGTTTTACTCGCCAGCGCAACCCCCATGCCTGGCCGCCGACGAAACCAGTGTGTGTGTGTGTTTTTGTGTGTGCGCGCGTTTGTCACCAGCCTTTCGCCGCTCCCGCCCGCCTGACTCCGCCGCGTCGCTGCGCGCGTGGCCGCGACGCCACAAGTCAGTGTGTGCGTGCGTGTGCGCGTGCGTGAGGGCGCGCGTTTGTGTGTGTGTGTGTGTCCTCTGTGAGCTGGGCCCGGCCCGCGCGGCTCCGCTGGACTTGGACCGCCGCCGCGCCGCCGCGTGCGTGGCGCCGCGGCGCCAAGCGGTGTGCTCGCCTGTGAGTGTGCCACTTCCAAGACGTCGGAGGGCTGCGCGGCCCTCCGGCTCTCGGCCATGGCTCGGGCCTCCGGCGGCCGTCCGGGGCGCTCCAGTGCACCCCCCGGGGATGCTCTCGGCGAGGCGCAGCTGCTCGAAGGGATCCCGAGGCTGGAAAGCCGCCGACCACCAACGAACAGGTCGGAAAACCTCGCCCGAGGATCGGGTGGCCCTCTTGCTCTCCGGATGACGTCGCCCGCCAGGCCCGCGGCCCCGGCTCGCGACGACGGCGCCATGGCGCGCGGCGCGGCCCGCCTGAGGGGCAACGATGGGGGAGGACGGGCGCAGGGTGGGGCACATCGACCTGGAATTGGCGATGCATCGCCGATAGATCGGCGATCCCCCGGTAGAATCCCTACGTTCCTGCGCGGGCACGGGCTATCAGCCACTCGTCGGCGATCAATGGGCGATTGGGGGCCGATGCGCCCACCCCTGAGCCTATCCCCGTCCCTGGTGGCTCTTGGGACATGACTCGGGTCTTCGGCGGCCGTTCGGGACGATCCTGGCCTCGCCGGCACGACCTCGGCGAGGCGCAGCTCGGGAGACCATCCCGAGGCTCATCAACTGTCGGGGCCCGACGGAAATGCCCGAGAACCTCGAACGTCGAGGCTGTCGTCTCCCCCCGAGCCTACCCCTCCTCCTCCTCCTCCTCCTCCTCCTCATCCTCCTCCTCCTCCACCACCTCCCTCCTCCTCCTCCACCACCTCCCTCCTCCTCCTCCTCCTCCTCCTCCTCCTCCTCCTCCTCCTCCTCCTCCTCCACGTCCCGTTGCCACTGTCAACGGTCAAAGGTCGATCCCTGGGCCTCTCCTGGGGTGCGCTGTGGCCATCACGTCGAGGCGGATCCGGCCGTGGCCCCGCGGCTCCCCAAGACGATGAAACACCTCCTGCAACCAGACCTCGAATCTCTAGGAGGAGGAGGAGCAGGAGGAGGAGGAGGAGGAGGAGGAGGAGGCGGAGGAGGAGGAGGAGGAGGAGGAGGAGGAGTGGTCTTCCTGAAACCGAGCCTCGAAACTCGAACCTCGAAGACCTCGAACCTCGAGCCTGTCGCCCCCCCCCCCCCCTGAGCCTACTCCGTCCCCCAAGCTTGAGCATGGACCGACCGCCCCAACACTCCTCTCGGCCTACCGCGCAATCTTAAAAACCCCGAAGCGGTCGAATCATTCAAACAATGCTCGTATAACGTGAACCTGATGTGCGAAAACACGACAATCTCGGCCAGGAATGTTCAAAGAGTTTCTCGCGTAGACCACAAACGAATTCTTATAACATTCTAGGATGGGCTTATGGGCAAGCCAGGACGCCTCGCTACTATCGGGCGTTGGCAGAACTGGGTTTAATGGAACCTGTTTTAATTATTTGTACCGGGGGCGCCCTCCCGTCCCATTTCCACTAACCGGAACTGCCGTCACCCGAAAAACACCAGTTATGGCAAACCTGGTTTAGTGAATCTGGCCAATTGAGGGGCCCCAGGGCCCTACCACTAACTGGGTCCCCTTACCCGGGGTCCTGGCTATACCCGACGCTACTCGACCAACGTTGCCCCCATCGTTGCCCCCGACCGCCGCCGGCCGCCGCGGGCGCCGCCCGCCGCCGGCCGCGCGCAGCGCCGCCCGCCGCCCGCTCGAGGCGGTCAGCGGCCCTCTGGATGGGCGCGGCTCGCCTCCAGCGGCCGGCGCGCCGCTGGCGCACGCCTGCCGCGCCGCGGGCGACGCCGCGTCGCGCCTTCGCCGTCGCCGTCGCCGTCGCCGCCGCCGCCGCCGCCGCCGCCGTCGCCGTCGCCGTCGCCGTCGCCGGTGGCCGCCTGCCGCGCCGTCGGCCGCCTACCGCGGGGCGGGGGCCGGCATGCCGAAGGGGGCCGCGGGGCGCCCTCCGGGAGCGCGGCCCCGCGCGCGCGCGGGCGCGCGGGGGCGCCGGGCAAGGGCGGGGAGCTCTGCCACCGCCGCGGGCGACGGCGACGGCGGCGACGACGATTGCGACGACGACGTCGACGACGACGTCGACGAGGACGAGGACGAGGACGAGGACGACGACGACGACGACGGCGACGACGGCGACGACGGCGGCGCCGACGACGACGACGACGACGGCGACGACGGCGGCGGCGGCGGCGGCGGGTGGGGGGAGGAACGGCCCATGGAGTTAACAAGTTCAAAACGGCCTGAAACAACGCCACCAGGTCCCGACGCAAAAATATTGCATCCAACGTGTCGAGACTTCATCGTCGACGCGGCCCCCGATGGCCTCCCAGATGCACCCGAGGACCAGCGAGGTCGCCCCCGACAAACTGCGAGCGGCCGCGGGATTTAGAGGAGACGCACATGAAACCCATGAGCCCGCACCTTCTTTTCGAAAACAGATGAGCTTGTATGCTCGCCATTCCGCTTCCGATGAGCTTCCGACCCATCCGCGCGGCTGCGTTATATGGCCGCAGAAAAAGCTCGAAAGGGGGCCTGCGATGGCTCTGGGGCGGTCCCCGCGAGCCACAAGACACGAGATTGGGTGTTCTAGAAGGGCAGCGGTTCTTGGATGCATCCCCTCTCATTTGATCGCCGTCTTCCAAGACGCCCCGCCCCCAAATCACAGAGGGGGGGTCGGAACGGCCTCGCTAGAACGCAGAACGTTTCCATTGCTCTAACGTTTCCCCGAAACCGCTTGCGTGACTTCGAGAAAGGCCCCACGAACGACCGAAGAAACCTGCAAACTAATCCCAGAATTGCTGGCACGAGGGAGAACCGTGATGGGTGACGGCTGCTGTCGTCGCCGTGGCCCCCTCTTCCCCCAAATAATCATCCTCTTCCTTCTCGTCCTCCTCCCACTTCTGCGACGTCATCGTCCTCCTGTTCCTCCTGTTCCTGCCCATCCCCCCCCGTTCCCCCCCCCCTCCTGCCCCCCCGCCCCGCCCCACTCCCCCGTCTCTCTCTTACCCCCGCCCCTCCTTTTCCTGTAGCGATCCCAGCTCCAGCCATTTTGGCTCAGCTTGCAATATCCCAGGGCAGCCGGCACGGCCAGCCTCCGCGGACCCGTCTGCTGGAGCAGCCCGTGACGCACGCTCCCCAAGCAAGGTGCTTCCTTCCAGTTACAGCCGGGGCGTTGCCCTAAGGAACCCTAAATAAGGAACGAGGCCCCTATTTTCCAGAAGTTCAACTTCGATTTCGTGTCGAAAACATAAGGAAACCCTGAGGCAAGCTGTGAAATACTTAAGGAACACGGAGCCCCTCCCCAACGAAAAGGGTTCCTTCTTCAGGGCCCCGACTGTAGCTCCTTACGGGGCCAACGGCTTCATCCTCGCCATGGCCGTAAACGATCTGCGCGCGCGGGCGGCGCCTGAGAACGAGGCATCAGATTCTTGCAGCGCGGCCGCGGTGGCGGCGCCCGCCTCCGAAGATGGCAGCTCGGGTTAGGTCGCGGGCATGTCCCTCTGCGGGCGGGCTTCTGACCCAAAATCAAATCAGTGACAACAGATTCGACAACCGTTTTTTCAAAACTACTCGACGCACCGTCCCCAGACTTCTTTTGGATTGTTTTTTTGACTATTCCTCCTGTAGAAGGGGCACGCCCGTGTTGAAATCCGGGCTCGGCGACGGCATCGCTCGCTGCGCCTGGCGCCGTCGAGGCGCCCGCCGTCGGCGAAGCCGCCGGGCCATGTTTCAGCGCGGCGGCGGGAGGGCACCCTCCCCCACTCGGGCGGCGAGGGAGGGGGGGAAGTGACAAGGAAAAGGCCTTCTCAGAAGGCGGCGGGACTTCTCAGAAACCCTCGCGCGTTCTGAGAAATACAGTCGGGGCGTTGACCTAAGGAACCCTAAATATGTAACGAGGCCCCTCTTTTCCATACGTTGAACTTCGACTTCCCATACAAAAGCCTAACGGAAACCCGAGGCAAACTGTAAAACAATCAAGGATC